CCAAAAGGCGGAAACAATCTAAGTATCCATTCACAGATAGATGGATTTTTTAAAATGTGGTGCATACAGGAATGGAATATTAGCGAGCCGGAAACGGGAAATGCTGTCATACACATGAATGAATCTTCATAAAATTATGCTAAGTAAAATAAGTCACAAAAAGACAAATACAGTATTATTCCATTTACATGAGTTGGGATTGTCTGGGCCAGCATTTGTGAGTGACTGGGCCAGAATGGGAAGGCAGTTGGGGCAGTTGGGGCGATCGAGCCTTCAGGGAAGCAGTTAGGCGTAGATAAGGCTGGCAGGGGAGTGGTTAAGGGGTGATCAGGCTGGCAGGCAGAAGTGGTTAGGAGCAACCAGTCAGGCAGGCAGGTGAACAGTTGGGAGCCAGCAGTCCCAGATTGTGGGAGGAATCTCTGATTGCCAACTTATTGGGCCTAAACTGGCAGATGGACATCCCCTAGATTGGAGAGGGTACAGGCTGGGTGGAGGGAAAACACCCTCAGTGTTTCGTGCACCAGGCCTCTAGTGTATATAATAATAACAATGTGCCATGTTTTCAATCAAAGATACAAGCAATCTTGGTCTCTAATATTTTATTACTGGATTTTCTCCTTCCTTTTAACATAGAGAGCCCATATGTTATGGATGGTTGAAAAGATACTGCTTGCCTAAAAGATGCCATTAACTATACAAAATTCCAGAGCTGTTATTATGCTTAATGGTGAAATATGGAACACTGTCCCCTAAGATAAGAAATAAATAAGCAGAGATGTTTGTTTTCATCATATCCATCACTATAAAGCAATGAAGCAAGAAAAATAAAAGATAAAGTTTAGAAATTTTTGTTGTTATTGACAGAATTGTAAACACAGTAAATCTAAAATAAGCCATAAATACTTGAATAAATAATTAAATTTATAAATGTCACAGGATAAAAGATAAATGTACAAAAAGAAATTGTAATTCTATGTGCTAGCTTGAAAAGTCAAAAACGAAAATAAATGAAAATATTTACAGAACAAAACATACCACATACCTAGAAATAAATTAATGTATTCAATACCTCTTCAATTAAAACTATAAAACACAGTTAAAAGAATTTAAAAATGACCCAGGTAAATAGACAATTATATTACATTTATCTTTTGGAAGACTTAATATTATAAAGCTGTCAATTTCATTCAGGTTATTCCATAAAATCATTCAGGTTATTCTATAAAATCAATTGAATTCCAACATGGTCACAGTTTTATTTTAAAATTGATAATGAGATTCTAAAATTAATAAAGAAACAAATGATAAGTAGAGAAGGCAAGTATAGACTCTACTCTGGTTTCTGGATGAGTATAGGAGCCAGTCTAAACAAATTGGAGTTTTACATTCCATTGGATAACAGTGGACAAGTGAGCCAATAAACTTCAATTGTAGTAATCATATTGAAATTGTCCCAAATGACCATCACTCTCTTCTCCCTGAGAATCCAACCTAGAAATCTTCTGAGGCTTAAATCTTCTGAGGCCCACTATAAAGAGATAGATCCTGCTAAGAAAAATAGCAAATACAGGAAGATGTATAGCAAGATACTGAAACAGAATTCATCCACATAATTTGTTTTAGCCCCAGGATCTAGCCATGCCTGAAGCCAGTTATACCCAAGGACTTTCCAGTAATCAAACCAATAAATTCCCTTTATAGCTAACAAATATGAAAAGAGTGAAGACACAAGACAGAGACTAAGAAAAGTTTCCTGCAATATATGTATATATAATATACATATTATAACATATATATATATAATATATGGCATGTATATGTAACTATAGATTTAGACACACTATAAAATAAAGAACAAGTAACCAGAAAAAAACCTTCAAATAAAAAAAATGGGTAAATGCTTCAACAGATGCCCTCATTAAAGATATTCAAAGAGCCAATAAGCACATAAAAAAGTATTTAATATAATTACATGTTAAGTAAATACAAATTACAACCAAAACAAAAAACCAGCACAGAGGAACCATACTTCAACATAGTAAATGCCATATATGAAAAACCTACAGCCATCATACTCAGTGGGCAGAATCTAAAGGCATTCCCCATAAGATCAGGAACAAGACAGGGATGTCTGCTTTCACCTCTCATGTTCAGCATAGTATTCGAAGTCCTAGACACCATGATCAGTCAAGAAGACAGCCAATTGGAAAGGAGGGAGTAAAACTGTCATTATTCGCAGATGACGTCATAGTGTACATAGAAAACCTTAAAGATCCCACCAAAAAACTACTAAATCTAACAAATGAATGCAACAAAGTAGCAGGATACAAAATTAATATTCAGAAATTGGCAGCATTTTTATTTTATTTTAATCTTCACCCAATGATTTATTGATTTTAGAGAGAGAGGAAGGGAAGAGAAAAATCAATATGAGAGAAACATTAATTAGTTGCCTACCATATGTGCCCGAAAGGAGGATTGAACCCACAACCTAGGCATGTGCCCTGAACAAAAATTGAATACATATCTTCTGGTGTGTGGGACGATGCTCCAACCAACTGAGCCACCTGGCCAGGTTTCAGTAGCCTTTTTATCCAACAACTAGAGGCCAAATGCATGAAAATTCATGCAAGTGTAGGCCTTCCTTCCACCGGCTACTGGCACAGGCTTCTCTGCAGCACCTGGGACTCAGGCGGCTTCCCTTCAGCTGCTGGCAGGCACCCGGGTCCTGGGCTTCACTCCAGCCCCAGCTACATTCGGAATGACGTCCTTTTATTATTATAGATAATGAACTATCAGAATGAGAAACTAAGAAAACAATTCCATTTTATATTGCAACAAAAAACATAAAGTACCCAGAAATAGACTTACTAAGGAGAAAAAAACATCTGTACATGGAGTGGAAGAATTACCATCATTAAAATGTCCATACTACCAAAGCAATCTGTAGATTCAATGCAATTTCTATTAAAATACCAATGTATATTTCACAGACCAAAGACAAATATTTCAAAAATTTATGTGGAACTAAAAAAGGCCCCAAATAGCATCAGCATTCTTAAGAAAGAATAAAACTGGAAGGATCATAGCACCAGATATTAAACTATACTACAGGGTCACTATAATCAAAATAGCCTTATACTGGCACAAGAACAGGCACACAGATCAATGGAACAGAACAGAGCCCATAAATCAACCCACATCTCTATGGTTAATTCATATTTGACAAAGGAGGCAAGAACATATAATGGAGTAAAGACAGTCTCTTCCGTAAATGGTGCTGGAAAAATTGGATAGGTATATGCAAAAGAAAAAAAAAAGAAAGAAACTGGACTACCAACTTATACCATACACAAGAATAAATTCTAAGTGGATAGAAAACTTAAAAGTAAACCACAAAACCATAAAAATCCTAGAACATAGGCAGTAAAATCTCAGACACCTCATAAAGCAGTGTTTTCTCCTATACGTCTCCTAAGACAAGAGAAACAAAGGAACAAATGGGACTACATCAAAAAAGCTTCAGCACAGCAAAACAAACTGTCAACAAAACAAAAAGGGAACCCACTGTAAAGGGTTATTTTCCAATATCTATAAAGAACTTATACAACTCAACACCAAGAAAACAATCTGATTAAAAAATGGGCAAAGAACCTGAATGGACACTTCTCCAGAGGACATACAGACGACCAATAGACATATGAAAAAATGCTCATAGTCCTTAATCTTCAGAGAGAAGCAAATTAAAACAACAATGAGGTATTACCTCACACCAGCCAGAATGGCTGCCATCAAGCAATCAACAAACAGCTAGTTCTGATGAGGATGTGGAGAAAAGGGAAACCTGATGCGCTGCTGGTGGGATGCAGACTGCTACAGCCACTGTGGAAAACAGCATAGTTTCCTCAAAAAATTACAAATAGAACTGCCTTTTGATCCAGTGATCCCACTTCTGGGAATATATCTTAAGAATCTCAAAATACCAAGCAGAAAGGATATATGCCCCCTCTGTTCACAGCAATGTTGCTTACAATAGCCAAGATCTGGAAAGTGTCCATCAGGAGTGGATTAAAAAAAAAAAAAACTGTGGTATCCCTGACCAATTTGGCTCAGTTTATTGGACATCAACTCATGCACCAAAGGGTTGCCAGTTCATTCCTGGTCAGGTCGTGTGCCCAGGTTGTGGGCACCATCCTTGATGGCAAAGGGATGGGGGGAGACATGTGTAAGAGGCAGTTGGTCAATATTTCTCTCACACATTGATGTTTCTTTTTTTCCCTCTCCTTTCCTCTAAAAATTAATTTTAAAAAATCTTTTCTTAAAAAACTGTTACACTTACACAGTGGAATACTATGTAGCTGTAAAAAAGAGAAAACTCTTACCTTTTGCAATAGCATGGATGGACCTGGAGATTATTATGCTAAGTGAAATAAGCCAAATAAGCCAGAGAGAAAGATAAATACCATATGACCTCACTTATATGTAGAATCTAATGAACACAATAAATTGGTGAACAAAATAGAACCAGAAGCATAAATACATGGAACAAACTGACACCTGTCAGAGGGAACAGATAGGGGGACTGGATGAGAGAACATATGTGTATAACCTATGAACACAGACAACAGTGTGGTGATGGCCAGAGGGAGAGGTGGGGGCTGGATGAAAATGGGAAAATGGGGGCAGGTGGTGGGGATGGAGGACATCTGTAATATTGTCAACAATTTTAAAAAGAAAGAAAAAAAAATATTACCACAACTTCTATTCAATGGCTAAAATTAGAAAGTGCTGGTCAGATATTTGGAACAATTAGAATTTGAATGCATTAATTTTATAATTATAGGTGGAATAAACATGTTTGAAAAAGAATAATATCTACCAAACTAAACATGAAATCTACCCTTAGATTTACTAATCTTATTTCCACGTAAAAAGAATTTACCAAGAGAAATAAGTGTAAGTCTGCCAAAAGAACAATTAGAAGGCAAAGAGACATTATGTTGAGAAAAGCCAAACACCTAACTGTACATAATTGTATTTTAACATATATATAAAGATCAAGAACAAGCAATCCTAATAAATTGTAATAAAAGTCAAAACTGTGGTTAGTCTTCTTGTTTTGAGATCACAATCAACTTACATACATGAATCTTTCCCTTTGGGCAGAGTGACTTAATGGGACTGGACTACAGAGATAACAGTCTGGGGCCACCTCTATATAATAAGTTGATGTGCCAGAGGATGGCAATAAATAAGCAAAATGATAATGCTAAAACTTGCCCCAAAATCTAAGAGGCTGTGTACAGCCATGATAGTGAAACTTACAGAGATGTTCATGGAACTGCTGCTTGTTAGGTAACTTAAGCACTCACTATTCCATTTGAACCAATATTGGTTGGTAAGACCAATAATTAGGAAAATGACTGGAAACTGGAGCCCACAGGCACCTATGCATCTATCTCCCTGTCTCACGGTCCCACTAAAATGAAAATAAGAGATTTTATCCTCTGCTTTCTAATTCTTAAACTATTTTAGACAACTCTAACCTGAAACTGCATAAGGAAGTGATTCTGGGAAATGAACTCCCAGCCATGCCCAAATTAACACACAGAAACCAACCCAACCAGCTTTGATTCAAGCTTTCTTCTCACAAGATCTTTTTTATTCTGGAAACATTGGGTCCAATTCCCAGTCATGAGCAAAAACAAAGAACAAAATACAAAAACTACATATCAGATGAGACATTTCTTTCAATACCTTCACACTTATTAATTTATGCTGAAATTACTTATGAGACAGAAAAGCCTTTGAATTGATAACTTCACAAACAGTAGTTTTTTATTAAAAAGGGGGAAATATTGAAAAGGCAATCTCCAGTATTTGTTGTACTAGTTCAAAATGAAACTACCAATTACAAAAGAAAGTTATAAAAGAAATTACAAATACAAGAGTCCATACCATAATCACTGCACACTTAGAGAATGATAGTTTATCAGAAACTAATTTTTTGTTTAAAAAGGATCACTGTTGTCTGCATGTGAAAAAATACTTAGTAATGAAAATATTTACATCTGAATCAAAATAAAAGCAACTCAGAATAAAACATATTAGAGCTAAAAGGTATTGGAAGGATATTTATCACCCTAAATATTCATATCAGAAAATTAAAATCAGAACCCTGGCCAGGTAGCTCAGCTGGTTAGAACATTGTCCTGATACCTCAAGGTTGTGAGTTCAATCCCCAGTCAGGGTACCTACAAGAATCAAATAATGGATACAGAAATAAATAGAACAAATTGATCTCTCTCTCTTTCTCTGTCCTGATACCTCAAAGTTGTGGGTCCAATCCCCAGTCAAGGTATCTACAAGAATCAAAAAATGGATACATAAATAAATATAACAAATTGCGCTCTCTCTCTCTCTCTCTCTCCTTCTCAAATCAATATTTCTCTGTTCCTGCCTCTAAAATCAATAAATAATTTTTTTTTAAATTTAATTAACTAAAAACCAGAAATCAGTGAACTATATTCCACTTTAAGGGTAAGCCACTGATCTTTGAGTCTAGTATGAATTTTCTTATAGACTTCTTATGAATTTTGACCAATAAAATGTGATATTCATGAAGGCAATACCACATGGTTTACAAAGGTTTTCACTCAGGTGTAAATTCTCAAGTCTTCATGAATATGAGCAATAATTTTCTTTCTTAGAGGAAGTTTCTACAGTGTGAGATCTCATATGTTGCCTAAGATTTCAAAAGCTTTGCAGACATTCCCATACGGCTTACATTTATGTTTTCTCTAGTGTGAGTTTTTACATGTCTTCGAAAGTAGGCAGGGCAGACAAAGGCTTTCCCACATTCTTTACATTCATATGGTTTCTCTCCAGTGTGGCTTCTTACATGTCTTCGAAAGGATGAGGGACAACTAAAGGCTTTGCCACATTCTAGACACTCAAACGGTTTTTCTCCAGTGTGCATTCTGGCATGTACAGTTAGGTATGAAGAATGACGAAAGGTTTTCCCACATTCCTTACATTCATAGGGTTTCTCCCCAGTGTGCGTTCTCATATGAATCCTAAGAGCTGAAGGATAAATAAAGGCTTTTCCACATTTTTTACATTCATAAGGTTTCTCTCCAGTGTGAGTTCTTACATGTACTGTAAGGTGGGAGGAACTAATAAAGGCTTTCCCACATTCTTTACATTCATAAGGCTTCTCTCCACTGTGAGTTCTCAAGTGTTCAGTGAGGGATGAGGAACGACTAAAGGCCTTCCCACATTCCTTACATTCGTATTGTATCTTTCCAATATGATCTCTCACATGTGCTCTAAAGGATGAGGGACAACTAAAGGCTTTTCCACATTCCTTACACTCATACGGTTTCTCTCTACTTTGATTTTTCACATGTGTATTAAGGGAAGTTAAAAGATAGAAGGCTTTTCCACATTCCAGACATTCATAGGGTTTCTCTCCAGTATGTTTTCTCATATGGATACTTAAGGAGGAGGGACAATTGTAGGCCTTCCCACATTCCTTACATTTATAAGGTTTCTCTCCTGTATGTGTTCTGACATGTACAGTGAGTTTTGAGGATTCACTAAAGGCCTTTCCACACTCTTTACATTCGTAAGGCTTCTCTCCAGTATGAATTCTTATATGTATTATAAGGTGAGAGGAAGAACTAAAGGCCTTCCCACATTCCTTACATTCATATGGCTTATCTCCACTATGAATTCTTTTGTGTTTGGAGAGTGAGGAGGAACAACTAAAAGCCTTCCCACATTCCTTACATTCATAAGGCTTATCTCCACTATGGATTCTTTTGTGTTCTGTGAGGGATGAAGAACAGCTAAAGTGTTTTCCACATTCCTCGCATTCATAGTTTGTCTTTCCCATGTGAATCTTCATATGTGCCCTGTAGAATGAAGAACAGCCGAAGGCTTTGGTACACTCCTTACATGTGTAGGGTTTCTCTTCTGTTGGATTTTTCATATGCTTCTTGAAACAAGCGCGAAAATAGAAAGCTTTCCCACATTCCTTACACTGATAGGGTTTGCTTCCAGTGTGAGAGCCGATGTGATTCTTAAGGGATAAATGATCTGTGAAGACCTTTTTGCATTCATGGCATTCATAGGATTTTATCTCAGTAGTTCTTTTGGGCATATTAAGATTTGAAATTTGGCAGAAGGTTTGTCCACACTGATTTTCTTCATTACGTTCATAGATGTCCTCCACCACATTACTTCTTTCAAAAATAAAAAGCACATTGTTAGTAATAAATACATTTTTACCATTTTCAGTTAACTATGAATGTTTTTGCCCTGTCAAGTTATAAGCTGAAAGTTCTCTGAAAGGGCTCTACAATAGCCAATATTTATCACTGAATTTTTATTAATCAGATTTTTCTCATAATTGCTTACAACTATCAAACATTGAAGTCCTGTCTCATTCATAGGGTGGGGGAATATCTTATGAAAATTCTTTATGAAATCACAATTTTTGACCAAGTTTTATGTACATGTTTTTTAAATTTCATGACATTTTAAGATTCTCTTCTGAGGTACTTACTTTTTTTTATATGAATACACTCACCTCAAAAGTCTTTTGGGGTTTTTGTTTTTATAATCAATGCAATGGTATTCCCAGTTTTTGTATAAAATGGATGACCAGAAATCATTTTTTTTGAATCTTTCTATTCTCTGTTGATTGGATGATTTTTCTTCATAAATGTCTTGTGAAGTGACTGATTTATTACTTTTAAATTGAGTCTTCAAACCTGAAACAAAAGTTAAAGGTACATATGAGCAAAGGGCTTTTGGCACTATGGCTGTTTCAAGACTTTGGTAATAAGCACAAGGTCAATATGGTAAACAACCTACTAAGAAATAATTCCATGAAGAGTGAGACTGATGGTAACATGAATAGAGTATTATTAGGAGAATAAAACAAAAAGAAACTGGATAAAATGTACATGACCAAATACTAACTTACAAAAAGGAAAGTCTTTTCCAAAAACAAAAGAAGTGTAAGAGGACTAATAAAAAGTCATAACAGTAATCAATGGTGTCTGTGCAAAATTTGCTCTCAGACAAAAGTTTCATTTTGCTTTTATTTTATGTTTCCAAATGTAATATCCCCCAACCAGGACAATTTCTCACAAGAATTCTTGCCTTCCTGGGGCTCCCTATGGATAGTCCCTCTCTTTGATATCTCCAGGTCCTCCTCTTGTTTCCATTGGGAGATCAGACAAGGTGTTTGTAGTGGATACCCTATTAATGCAGAAAGGCATATCACATGAAAGAAAAAAATGAGGAACCATAAACATTTCCATGAGACAAGGCAAAACTTCATTCTTCTGATACTATAAAGATGGGGCAAGTGTGAATTTAATTATAACAAAATTTATGTCCAAAGATTTTTAAGGGAGAAAGGGTTGTGACATAGCCTTTGATGTCTAGAACTGATCTTTCATATCTAATCCTCAGTATAACTAGAAGTTGGTCTGCTACTTACAACCAGGACATTTTGTTCTCCTGCTGAGCACAAATAATCTCACAGAATACCAATCTTAGACAAGGTTACGCTAATATCATTGTAAAATGAAATGAGACCATTTCAAAATTTAGTCTAAGGACAGGCAAAGATTTAGTCTAAGGATAGACACTGTGCCACCCACAAAATACCCAATAATAGAATTTTTCCCACTTTCTATTAGCATCCAATCTACCCAAGTGAGTTAATCCAAGTGGGTTAAACAGTGTTCACCCAAAACCCGTATCCAGCCCTGGCAGGTGTGGCTCAGCAGTTGGAGCATTGGCCCATGCACCAAAGGGTCATGGATTCAAATCCAAGACAATGGAATATTCTATTCAGTGCTAAGAAGAAATGAACTGTCAAGACATAAAAGAACTTTAAATGCATGTTACTAACTGAAAAAAGCCAATGTGAAAAGGCTATAGACACGTATATCTTATAATTCCAAATACATGACATTCTCGAAAAGAGAAAACTATGGACGTAGTAAAAACATCCATACTTGGCAGGGGTTAAAAGGGAAGGAGGGATGCATCGACCGGGCACAGAGGATTTAGGACAGTAAAACTACTCTGTATGATATTATAACAGTGGGTATGTCATCATATATTTGTCCAAACCATAGAAGGTACAGCACCAAGAGTAAAGCCCAATGTAAACTATGGACTCAGGTGCTGAAGATATGTCAATGCAGGTTCATCAGTTGTAACAACTAACCCACTCTGATGGGGGATATTGGTAGCAGGGAAGGCTGTGCATGGGTATAGGGGCATATGGGAAATCACTATAACTTCTGTTCAACTTTTCTGTGAACCTAAAACTGCTCTAAAAATAAATAAATGTTTGTGGGTGGTTTTGTGTTGTTGTTGTTGTTGTTTTAACTCATGTGTAGAACCTCAGAATACTTCCTTTTTGGAACTAGGGTCATTGCAGATATAATCACGTTAAGGTGAAGTTATACTGGAGTGGGGTGGGCCCTAAATCCAATAACTAGTGACCTTATACAGAGGGAGAGACTTAGAGACAGAGAGAAGATGGAGGCAAAGATCAGAGCAATGTATCTGCAAGTCAAGAATACCAAGGATTGCCGAAACCAGTTTGGCTCAGTGGTAGAGCCTCGGTCTGTGGACTGAAAGGTCCCGGGTTCGATTCCGGTCAAGGGCATGTACGTTGGTTGCGGGCACATCCCCAGTGGGGGGGTGTGCAGGAGGCGGCTGGTCAATGTTTCTCTCTCATTGATGTTTCTGGCTCTCTATCTCTCTCCCTTCCTCTCTGTAAAAAATCAATAAAATATATTAAAAAAAAAAAAAATACCAAGGATTTGTTTCTGGCCACCACCAAAAGCCAAGAAGAGATAGGCAGGAATTTTTCCAAAGAGCTTTCAGAAGGGGCAAGGCCCTGCTGACACCTTGATTTTGGACCTCCAGATTCAGAAATGTGAAAGAACAGGTTTCTTTTGTTTTTAGTCATCCAGTTTGTAGTATTTTGTTACAAAAGGCCCAGTAAACTAATACAGCCTACTCGCATAGACCCCTCCCCAAATCACTCAACCAAAGTTCAAATCCTGTAATATGTATTTTCTAATACCCTCTTACTGTGACACCCCACAGCTCCCTATGTCATGTGTTCTCCCTTGAAGCACTGAGTAATTAACCCAACTTGTTTAACATTAGGTATGTTGCCGGCGGTCTTTTAGTCAAGGGCATTGATGGCAGCAAATTCTCAAAAGGTCCCAAACCATAAACCTCCCTGGGTCCCTAAGAGACCCCTCAAATCTATGTGTGTGTGTGTGTGTGTGTGTGTATATATATGTGTATATATATATATATATATATATATATATATATATATATTGATTTCAGAAGGGAGAGGGAGAGTGATAGAAACATCAGTGATGAGAGAGAATCATTGATTAGTTTCCTCTAGCACGCCCCCCCTCTGAGCATGTGCCTTTAACTGGAATCGAACCCAGGACCCTTTAGTCCACAGACCAATGCTCTATCCACTGAGCCAAACCAGTTAGGTATGCCCACACTTTCAACCACAATAAAAAGTCAGTTCAACACACAGATGTTTCTTTTCATGGTGAAGCCCCTAGCCTACAGGTTCCTTGGGGTCAGTGACCATGTCTATCTTATTCACCAATCAACTGCAATTCTTCAGCCCAAATCATCGCATAAGAAATAAGGTTGAGTTGTCAGATTTGTTTTCTAAACATCCAAATAAAGGAATGCTGCTATTCTTACCGAGTGAGGCCAGGTTCCGGAAGTTCTCCAGCATCACCTCTCTGTAGAGGCTTCTCTGAGCACAATCCAGCAAAGCCCACTCCTCCTGGCTGAAGTCCACGGCAACATCCTCAAAGACCACTGAGTCCTGAAACACCCCACATTCTCTGATCAGAAGGTATCAACTCCCCAGATGTGTTCAGGAGGATGGATGACGCTGACAATATAGGATAAAGGAGCTGAGAACCCAGTCATGGGGAGTTCTAAAGATTTTATGCTCTCCTAACATCGACCCCTGGACTCAGCTATCAGATCTTTCTCCCCACACACCCTTCCTGACTGATCAAATTCTGTCTCCCAGACTGAATGAAACTTCTAAAACACTCAATTTATCTCTTCATGGTTCAATGGTAAACAATTCCAATCTTATAATGATCCAGAACAGCCCAGGACAAATAGCAAAAATGAGATAACTGGTCTAAAAATTAAATACAGCAGGTCCTTGAATGACTTCATTTTGATATAATATTGAGGAGATGCTGTGAGAACTTAACTCATCTATACCAATCTATGGTGAAACTGGTTTCCGTATCTGTTGTTTTGCTTTAAATCGCAAAACCTATCAATAATGTTAGGTGAGAAACAATTTCACCTGCTTCCTTCTCTCCCACTAGACTTTGAATCAGCACAACGAAGGGTCAAATCTGGATGAGGTTTTAATTAATAAAAACGCACCGAGAGAGAGGGAGCTTTCCTTTATTTTCATAAACCCGAGAGGCCGAGAAGCACAACTTTTCAACCCAGGCCCGCAGCTGGCCATATTTTCTCAGGCTCTAGGTCAGGGCTAAATCCAGCCTACCACCTGTTTGTGCAAGAAAAGTTTTATTGGAACACAATCAAATGTGTTTATATGATGTCTACAGCTGCTATCACACTACAGTGGCAGAGTTGAGTTCCAACAGAAACTCAGGCCTTCAAAGTCTAGCATACTATGTAACCCAAAAAAGGAACAGGTTGCTGATCCCTGCCCTAAACAATCAGACTGGTGAACTGGTGAAATGGGAATATTCTTTTGGAGAATCATTAGCTTTTACCTACCTGTGTCATGTTTTCCTGTGACTCAGCAGCTCTTCTTTCTTCGTCCATTCATGAAGAAAGGCAGACGATGGAGAAGTTATAGCTGAGGCGGGAGAAAAAGGACATCACAATTTAGATCTTCCTACAATTTGCACACTCATGAGCTTGGTTGCTGCAGCACATTATGAGTTACCATTCCACCCGAAACACACACACACACACACACACACACACACACACACACACACACTACCCATACATGCACATGCATTCACCCAAGACACCCAAGCAAGCACATTCTGATCTCGTAAGAAAGTGGAGCAATGTTACCTCGTGTAGAGCTAGAAACTGCTCTGGTTCTTGTTGGCCTTTTTTTTTTAAAGGTTAATACCTTCGATAGTCCCATTTTACAGGTAAGTTAACTGAACTCTAAAAACTTAGCTAACACTAAAATCAATTTGCCCATAATAATGAAAAGCATAAAAAGTTCCAAGCAAAACCTACAACCTGAAATTCTTATATTCCTGAGAATATACACTCTGTCTCAAATCCAAGAAAGCACTGACTAATATACCAGACTTCTGGGTGCTCCGTTCCCAATATTCCTTACTTCTGAACCCCTTGGCAAGCTAACAGGCATTCCTGCTCAGCCCCTGATCAATGGACCTTCCCTCCCATAGGCTGCAGGATCCCTGAAACCTGGTTTACGAGAGAATCAACTAACGAAATTCCACACAAGGAAGCAGAGAAGACTCCCATGCTATCATCCTCATGCTAAATGCTGCCTGTACAGAAGCAGAAAATAATACTTAAGTGAAATGAGGAAGGTGTGTCATCTCTGATAGTAATGTCTACAGGGCTGCTTTACAAATTTCCAATAATGAAAACACAACTGTTTCTTCCACAGCAGTACTAAATAGTCAACCACAGACTGTATTAATAATATGTTCCATGCGAGCAAGCATGATGTGAGACTTGGAAAAGAGATGCCCACATCTTTGCAAAGAAATTATTTCTATTTCATAGAAACTCTGCAAATCAGATATTATTACAACTAATTTATAGCTGAGAAATCTTAGAGTCAATTAACCACTAACCACGTACTCAATGTTACCCAGTTAGAAAGCTGCCTTCTCAGGGTGTGTATGCAGGTCTATTTATCTCAAGTCCAAATGGCCAATGAATATATTTCTGAACGTATATCTTACAACCTCGTTGTTTGAGAGGCCCTTATTCCCTAACATTACCAGGGACTGGCCTAGAACCCTGTTGGACACACTGTGCAGAGTAGACAAATGAAGTAGTCTATTCAAAGGTTTTATCTTTGAGCAAGGATGCTTCTCTTAAGGCCCCTACTGCCTGCTCTTTCATTGCGTATTTGTTTATGTAATATTTCCCCTGATCCTATCACATGCAGTCACAGGAGATGCGGCACTGAACAAAACAGAAAAATACTGAAGTACATGGACTTCATAATTATTTTAAGGGAGGGCAGTAAATTATGATAGCAAAATATCAAGTAGTGGTATACGCTATATAAAAATGCAGTGCATTGCAGGAATAAGGAGATGCACATATACTTATCTTAGGGAATCAGTGCTACTATATGGCAGGATAGAAGCAGAAAATTAAAATAACTGTTTCAGATAACAATGGAAATCCATAGCTGGTGTGGTAGGTATATTTTTATACTTATAAATACCATCAATTCCCAGAGAAGAAAAATATCAGTATCAATAGGTTAACTACTGACTACAGCCCTAACAAAGTCGGGAAAAGAATAGCATAAAGGGTTAGAAAGAAAAGTGAAAATGAGGCAAAATTAATGATACTTTAAAAAACTAATAAACAGAATCAGAAAAGGTAGCAATCTGTCCTTTGAAAACTAATGAAGTCGACAAACCCATGGCAATTCTAAAAACAACAGGGCACAGATAAAGGAAGTTACAAATGAGTCGGATATTACCAGGGAGATTATAACAACAACAAAAAAACTAAGGGAAGAGATATGAAAACATACAGGTAAAGAATAAATTTTGAGCCGAAACCGGTTTGGCTCAGTGGATAGAGCATCAGCCTGCGAACTGAAAGGTCCCAGGTTCAATTCCAATCAAGGGCACGTAAGTTGGTTGTGGGCACATCCCCAGTAGGGGGTGTGCAGGAGGCAGCTGATCAATGTTTCTCTCTATCTCTCTCCCTTCCTCTCTGTAAAAAATCAATAAAATATCTTTTAAAAAGAATAAATTTTGAAAGAGAAAAATACAATTTTCCAGCAATTATTTAAAATATAGAACTTGATTATATTCAATCATTAAAAAAAAAATCTCCAATTTAAAACACACCCATGTAAGAAATCGCCGAAGCCAGTTTGGCTCAGTGGTAGAGCGTCGGCCTGCAGACTGAAAGGTCCCAGGTTCGATTCCGGTCAAGGGCATGTACATTGGTTGCTGGCACATCCCCAGTAGGGGGTGTGCAAGAGTCAGCTGATTGATGTTTCTCTCTCATCAGCGTTTCTAGCTCTCTCTCCCTCTTTCTCTCTCTCTTCCTCTCTGTAAAAAATCAATAAAATACATTAAAATGAAAAAAATAAAATAAAACACACCCATGTAAGAAATAAATTGTTTAACCAACAAGCTCACCAAATAAGTAAAATATTCAAAATTCTATGGGTGGGTGGGACTATTTTCTCCAGTATTTCCAAGACCAGAAAAAAAAAAAAAGATATCATACACATTAGTGCAAATAACATATTAGTATAGTCAAGAAATGAAAAATAAAAACATTAATCACAAACCAAGTTCGTTTCATCCTAAGAATAAAATGTGGCTGAAAATGGAATCATCAACTAATAGAATTCACCACATTAACATAAAAAGATTATACAAGGTTTGACTTACTAGATACAAACTAGTGACTGATCTATTTATATCAATGTTCATTGGTGATAACAATATAACCCAGCAGAACTAGAAGGGGACGAGTTTTACTAGGGGGGAAAAAAATCCACCCATACCTACAGTAAACATCCTACTTAAGGGTAGAATAACTCCCTTTGGGATAAGAGACAACGAAAGGATACAAATTCCATGCTATTTTACATGGAACTGGATGAAGGTCCTGGCAGTACAATAAAGTAAAAAAAAAAAAAAAAAATACAAGGTACAGTGGAGGTGGGAGAGGCTGAAACTACAGTTTGCCACACTTTGTGTGTGAAACTCAAATAAAAATCTACAGATGATTAAAATGTATAGCTGCTCGGCGCGGAGGATCATGAGAGCATTTAATAATCCGTTCACTTTTACGCACCGGAATATAATGTAGCTGTGCTGGCTTCGGCAGAACACACATTACATACCATGTAGCAGCCGGATGCCTGAGCGGGGTAGAACTAAGGTTTAATACTCTCTCCTGCACGAGGAGGGGAGGAGAAGAGACGGAGCGGAGGCCAAGGTCAGCCGCGCTCACCGGGCACGCCGCGGCCGAAGTCCACGGATCCGCGCGGAGGCCACGAGGGGAGGCTCTGGTCCCGCGACCCGAACGGCAGGGGTGCTTTTCCTCTTTGTGGGAAGAGAGCACAGGACGCCTTGGGAGGACGATGAAAAGAAGGTGATCGTCCCATCTACTTCGCTCTCGCTCCGATCGCTGGGCCCAGCACAGAGTTCGCAGCCGGCCGCGAGCGGGGCGCACGGGGCTCGGGAACCGGGGGCTCGGGAACCGGCGCGGCGGCGGGAGGCCGGGCGCGGGGTGCCGGCGGCGGCCCCCCTTGATCGCTGGCCTCCCCGCGGCCGAGCTCTCCGCTCCCGACGCCAGGGGCCTGGGGGAGGCCGGACCGAGGCCGCGGAGGCCGAGGACCCGGGGGAAGACTGACCGCCGCCGCCGGGGGGAGGGTGCGGGGAGTCCGGCCGGCCGCTCGCGCAGGCGCAGAAGCGAGCATCGGCTTCCGGACGGTGCGCTGCCCCCGGCCACCGAGGCGGGGGCTCCGGGGCTGGGAAATGGGGTCCGGGAGGCGGAGGGACTGGGACCGGGGGGAGAGGGGGTGCGGAGCGGGGCGGCGGTGCTTCCAGCTCTGAGTGACCAGCTGCCAGTTTCCTGCCAGGAGAGACGTGGATGGGTCCTGGGACCGGATCAGCGCTGGAGTCGGGGTTGGATGTCAATGGGGCGGGACCAGGTCGGTGGGATAGACCGGGTCAGTGGGGTGGGACCTGGTCAGTGGGGTAGATCAGGCCAGTGGGGTAGATCAGGTCAGTGGGGTAGACCAGGCCAGTGGGGCGGGACCAGGTCAGTGGGGTGGGACCAGGTCAGTGGGGTAGATCGGGTCAGTGGGGCGGGACCAGGTCAGTGGGGCGGGACCTGGTCGGTGGGGGGGTACCTGGTCGGTGGTATAGACCTGGTCAGTGGGCAGGGACCTGGACAGTGGGGTGGGACCAGGTCAGTGGGTTAGACCTGGTCAACGGGGCGAGATCAGGACAGTGGGGCGTGACCAGGTCAGCGGGGCGGGCTTAGTTGAATATCAGAGAGGCAGGGCTTACGGTGGGGCCAGGCCGAGGAGCGGGACTGAGGTAGACCCCAGGGCAAGAGGCAAGGTAGGGCCTCCAATCCAGGCTCTCCAGAACTGGAGAACTGGACACAAAACCTAAGCCTACACCGATCCATGAGACCTCCCTTCCACCTAGCCAGTCCTCTCATTAGAATGGGCCAGCCTCTGCAACACTCCTGTCCTCTTTTTTAAAAAAATGGAGTGGATATTGTTTTGTAAAAAACTTACGGTCTGTAAACTGTAGTGTGTGCCCACATTTCCTGTGGCCCCCAACCCTGATGCTGTTCTAGCTTTTTACCTCTAAATGGATAAGCTCTCATACTTTTAACTGGAACATAATGAAAATCAGAGACCTGGTGGCATTCCAGTTGCTCTCAAAATCCAGTAGCTAAAGAATCTCCCTCTTGCTTCTGGACAGTAGCCTCAGCCTCACATCTCAGATTTAAATTTAGGGTCACCTCTTCACCTCTAACACAGTATCTGAAACCCCAGACTGAGATACTGTAGTGCTTGTTCCTCGTCACCTTAACTTTTTTTTTTTTTTTTAGCTTTTTTTAGCTCCCTTCCCAGATAAGGGGAATCATAAAGAGGAAGCTAAACTACTGTTAGGGTTATCAAAGGAGGAACACAAGAGGCCAAAGTGGTAAGGGAGTATAAATTTATTATGTCATCTGGATACCAGATGGCCTGAGCCCCAAAATGGCACCAGCAACCAAAGATGGGGAGTCAGAGGTTTTTAAAGGGTTCTGGGCAGGCCTCTTCTGGGCGGAGAATTCTCTGTGCAGGTCCAGATTCTGGGAAAGTCCGCAGGGGAGAGATAATGGTCTTAACAAGTGGACTATGGTCTAAGCGAGTGGAGTATTCTTGTGAAGTGGCCTAAAGGTCAGTTCTGGGGGTGAGGGGAAAATGTGGTGTCGATTGAATTATCTTTGATCAGCCCTAACAACTACATTGTATTATGCTAGGCGAAATAAGCTAGTCAGAGAAAGATAAGTATCACATGATCTCACTCATAGTGGAATCTAATGAACAAAATAAACTGGTGAACAAAATAGATCCAGAGATATGAACCATGAAACAGACTGAGGAATTTCAGAAGGCCAATCTGGGGAGGTGGTGATGGTAGAAGGGGGAAGGGATTAACCAAGAAACATATGTATATATGCATAGCCCATGGATACAGACAACAGTATGGTGAAAACCTGGGAGGGCAGGTGCCAGATGGAGGGGGTCAATGGTGAAAACAAAGGGGACATCTGTAATACTATCAACAATAAAGACAAATGTTTTAAAAAGCTACATTGAAAAGCTGAATCACCAACAGTGAATTTATTAACAGGTTATGCAGTTATGTAGTGATTGTATCCATCATCTCCATGGGGAAAGTTTAGCAACAACGGTGCCAAGAAGGGGAAGATGCATTTAAGTACGCAGCAAAATGTGAAATTGATAAAGACAAAATGGAACTTTAAGGGAACATAATCGGGCGGGTCCATGGGAAGAGCTAGGGTTATGGAAGTTCTCGCACTGTCATTGGGAGGACCCTACAGAAAGAACTGTTTATTTATATAGTAAAGTTCTACGGTTCTAACTTCCCCTTCCCTTCCCTTCCCTTCCTTCAATAAATACCCCTGCCTCCTCGTATGCAGGCCACATGACTTGCCATGTCTGCATGCACGGAGTTGCAATCGTTTCTTCTCCCTCCACCCCTAATACATTTTTAGTGATGAAACATCTAGTCATGTTACTTTTTAGTCTACAAAAGAATTGTTCTTTGCGTGTAAGACGTGTAAGAGGCATGGGCTAGGGAAGAAAATAAACCACAGCCGCACCTTCCAGGTCAAACGCCTAGCTCTCCAGCACCTCATCCAGCGCGTCAGTCCAAACCTCTGAGGCTCCGCCCCTTACGTCGGTCGCAGAGACCGAGCGAGCGTGCGTGTGCACGTTTGCGTGTGCACGTTTGCCTGTGCGCACGCGCACACGAAGCGACTGCCCTCTTAACTGCGCTGGCGGGTGTCGGAGGTGAGGGTAGGCGGGGTCACAGGGGGCTGGCCCCGCGCGCTCTGACCCCGCCCCTCGCGCCGGGTCGCGGGAGGAGAGAACGCTCCAGGGCGATTCCCCGTCGGAGGAGCTCAGCCTGCGGGGTCACCGCAGCAGCTTTGGGCGGGCGGGTCGGCCTCCTCCCCTTCACAAAAGCCTCCAAGTGTGCGCTATCCTCCGAAGGAAAAAGCATCTTCGCCTTTCGCATCCCTGACCCGGGCCTCAGGGTGCCCCGTCCCCAGCAGCCTGGCCCTCCCTCCGCCGGGTCCCGGGGCGCCCTCCGGGGAGCTGTTCCGACGGTGGGTGTCCGTGATTGCGGTTTGGTAAGTTGCATCCCAGTGGGAAGAGGGACCTTACGGGGCTGGAGGGTGAATGGAAGACTATAAATGCGCATTGGCCACAGAGGACCAGCGGGCGCAGCCTCCCATCCCAAATCCGCTCGCTCCTCTCGGAGCCCCGCGAATCCCCGACGCCTCCGAGAAAAATGTGGCTTAGCATCACTGATAAACAGCGGGACAACTTGCATTTAAATGTCTCCCAATGTGATGAAGTACACATCACCTAGGAAACTTTCAATTCTCTAAACCTGCGCAGTAATTGATAGCCATAGGCTAGCAGTCAGTGGTCGGCAAACTCAGTCAACAGAGCCAAATATCAACAGTACAATGATTGAAATTTCTTTTGAGAGCCAAATGTTTTAAACTTAAACTTCTAGCGCCACTTCTTCAAAATAGACTCGCCCAGGCTGTGGTATTTTGTGGAAGAGCCACACGCAAGGGGCGAAAGAGACGCGTGTGGCTTAAGCCGCAGTTTGCGGGGCAATAGATGGTGCGCGCCCACTTGGGCTGTTTGCAAAAGTTGAGGTCTATGAGTTTGGACGGGCGGGCTGTTCTCATTTAGAAACTCTTACCTGAAGGAAATCTGCGTGTAGCTTCGGATGAACCCCTGATCTAGATTGACGAGTTGTTGAGATTTGTCTCACCTGTCATTCTTGATGTAGATACTGGTGATGATGAGCCAGTTAGTGGTAAATTGCAGACTTTCACGTAACCCCTTAAAGAACGAGGGCTGTCTCCTTTTATTTTTCAAAATATATTTTATTGATTTTTTTTAACCGAGAGGAAGGGAGAGGGAAAAAGTTAGAAACATCATGAGAGAGGAACATCAATCAGCTGCCTCCTGCACACCCCCTACCAGGGATGTGCCCGCCACCAAGGTACATACCCTTGACCAGAATCAGCCTGGGACACTTCAGTCCACAGATCGATGCTCTATCCACTGAGCCAAACCGGCCAGGGTTGTCTCCTTTTAAAACAGAACAAAACTCCTTTGTCCACCATGAAAAATCAAATTTCTCCCATTTCCCAGAAGTATCTATAAAAGCGGTCAGGTTTTTTTGAGCTAGCATCCATCCAAACAAGATTCACACATTGCATTTTGTTTTTCTATGTCTTAATTACGCCCAAAACATTTCCCTGCGTTTCTTAAAATTTAATGTTGATTGTTGAAGATTCCAGAAGAGTTATTCCGGGGTAGTTAAAAGTAGGTTTACAGTTGTCGGTGGCACACTTTTGAGTTAATAAAGCTATTGTAATAATCATCACATTCATGTCCTTTTCCTACTGAAATTATAAACCTATTTTTGCCATCCCCTGTATTGTAAGATGTTTGCGTTCTGATACAGTCCTGTTTTCCTGTGATTTTTAACTTGTCTGCCTTTTGGAATTCTTGTGAAGTACATGTTGGATCTAGAGTAGTATTCTGTAATACAAATACAGTGCAAGGTATAAATGTAATTTTTTAAAAAATTTAAAGCCAAATTAGAAAAATTAAAAAGACAGGAGACTTTATTTTCAATAATTTATTTAACCCAGCATACCCAGTTATCAATAGAAAATTATTAGTAAAATTAATAACTAATATAGTCAATATAAAATTATTAATAGAACTTGTATTTATTTATTTTTAAATATGTTTTTATTGATTTTAGAAAGAGAGAGGAAGGGAGAGGGATAGAGAGATAGAAACATCCATGAGAGAGAAACCTCGATGGGCTGTCTTCTTGCACACCCCCTCCTGGGTATCAAGCCCAAAACCCAGGCATGCGCCCTGAATAGGAATCAAACTGGTGACCTCTTGGTTGGTGACCTCTTGGTTGGTGGGTAGATACTTAACCAGCACGGCTAATAGAGCTTTTAAGAACTTTTACACTTCTTTTCTACCAACTGATTGAAATCTAGCGTTTATTTTACATTTAAAGCACGTCTCATATGGTTGCTAAATTTTCATTGGAAATTCTTAATCTGTATTTATATTTTATAAAATTTACTGTTGAAAAAGGTAGATTTACAAACTCAGATTGTTTCAGACATATTAAAAAGTTTTTTAATAACTGAATTTTATTTCTAAACTGAATTAAAAGTGAATAAAGTTAAAAATTCAGTTCCTCAGTTGCATTACCTCGCCCCATGGTTGGCAAACTGCGGCTCACGAGCCACATGCGGCTCTTTGGCCCCTTGAGTGTGGCTCTTCCACAAAATACCACAGCCTGGGCGAGTCTATTTTGAAGAAGTGATGTGAGAAGAAGTTTAAGTTTAAAAAATTTGGCTCTCGCCGAAACCGGTTTGGCTCAGTGGATAGAGCATCGGCCTGGGGACTGAAAGGTCCTGGGTTCGTTTCCGGGCAAGGGCATGTACCTCGGTTGCGGGCACATCCCCAGTAGGGGTGTGCAGGAGGCAGCTGATCGATGATTCTCTCTCATTGATGTTTCTAACTCTCTGACCCTCTTCCTCTCTGTGAGAAATCAATAAAACATATTTAAAAAAAAAATTGGCTCTCAAAAGAAATTTCAATCATTGTACTGTTGATATTTGGCTCTGTTGACTAATGAATTTGCTGACCACTGACTGGTAGCCTATGGCTATCAATTACTGCACAGGTTTAGAGACTTGAAAGTTTCCTACGTGATGTGTACTTCATCACATTGGGAGACATTTAAATTTAAGTTGTCCCGCTGTTTATCAGAGATGCTAAGCCACATTTTTCTCTGTAGTAATCCATGGTGATACTTTGTTCCCCAAAGCCTTTCCAATGGTTTTAGCATCCGTTGTTGATTTTTGCCTTAACGCGTTTTTAGTGGGTTTGTGTGTGTGGTTTATTTCTTTAATCTTTTTTTTAAATATATTTTATTGATTTTTTTTTTTTTTTTGCCCTCCTCCCTCTCATATATACCCTCCCTCCCTAGAGTTTTATGTCCATTGGTTTTACTTATATGCATGTATACAAGTCCTTCGGTTGATCTATTATCTACCCCAAATTATATTAGGGGATACAAATGTGGGTTTTTTTGTTTGTTTGTTTGTTTCTTTGTTTTCAAATTCCTTCTTCATTCTTTAGCTGGCATTCTTCTATGAATAGGAGCTTTCCTTCCAACCCTCCCTTCTATACATTTTTCTTTTGCAGTATCACATTATATTCTAAGACTTTTCTTTCATTTACTACTAGAGGCCCTTTTATGCACTGCAGGGGAGGGGAGGGTTGTTATCCTTCAGCCCAGCCTGCACCCTCTCCATTTGGGGATCCCTGTGGGATCGGGCCTCCCCCGGCAGTCAGACATTCCTCTTGTAATCTGGGACTGCTGGCTCCCAACTGCCTGCCTGCCTCCCAGCCTGATCACCCCATAACCACTCCCTGCCAGCCAGATCGATGCCTAACTGCTCCCCCACCAGCCTGATTGCCCCCAACTGCCCTCCCCTGCTGGCCCAGTAACCCCCAACTGCCTTCCCCTGCTAGCCCAGTCAACCCAAATTGCCCTCCCCTGCAGGCCTGGTATCCCTAACTGCCCTCCCCTGCAGGCCTTGTCATCTCCAATTGCCCTCCCCTGCCAACCCAGTCACTCCTAGCTGCCCTCCCCTGCCAGCCATCTGTGGTGGCCATCTTTGATCACATGGGGGTGGCCATCTTGTGCAATGGAGTGAAGGTCAATTTGCATATTACCTCTTTTTTTTGCATATTATCTCTTTATTATATACTATATTATAGTCAATAATTGCCATTCAAGGAATCTCACCTGATGTACGTCTGGTCAATTGGACTGCTATAACAAAAATGTGGTAGATTGGCTGACTTAAAACAATAAATTTCTCAGCATTCTAGAGGCTGGGAAAACCAAGATCAAGGCATCAGCGATTAGTGGTTAACTTTGTGGTTAATAGATGGCTGTCTTCTTATAGTGTTATCAGATGGCAGAAAGGACAAGGGAGCTCTCTGGGGTCTCTTTTATAAGGGCAGTTATTCCACTAATCATGACCTCAAAGATCCCACCTCAAAATGTCATCATACTGGAGATTAGATTTCAGTATATGAATTGGGAAGGAGGGTTGAGACACACACGTTTAACATTTAGTCTGTAGCACCTAATCTCCGGTATTTAGGGTTTTTTGTTGTTGTTGTTGTTTTGTGATATATTTTATTGATTTTTTACAGAGAAGAAGAGAGAGGGATGGAGAGTTAGAAACATCGATCAACTGCCTCCTGCACACTCCCTACTAGGGATGTGCCCACAATCAAGATACATGCCCTTGACCGGAATCAAACCTGGGACCTTCCAGTCCACAGGCCGACACTCATCCACTGAGCCAAACAGGTTTCGGCAGGTGTTTAGGTTTTTAATGGGGTCTATAATGTAGGCATGCAGCACCTGCATGACTGACTTTAGCCACTCAGAATTCAAAATTATACAATTGTCCAGAGCCTCAGATTCTTATGACAGAGTAATATGTATTCAAACCATAGTTCACCACTTCCTAATGAGCCATCTTGGGCTAATTACTACTGTCTGAATAAGATTGCCTCAACTATTCAATGGGGGTCATCAGATGAGTTATCAAATGTTTCTGGCAAACATTGGGTACTCTGTAAATGGCAATTATTTATATTCAGATGTATACTATGGAGTTTTTAATGGCTTTCACATTTATATAATTTCATTCTCTGCTTGATGACAGATGAGTAATGCCTGCTGCCTAAAGATTGAAGGTATAAGGCAAGACTTCCCATTTCTACGCAGTCAAGAGGAATTGGGTTTGAAACATACTCTCTTGAAGAGACTTTGGGAACAAGAAGTTCCTCTGTCAGACTCACAGGATGCTATCCATTGATCTTTCTCCTTATGGTAAGTACTTGCGATGTTCCTTTCAGAGATCTTACTCTAGGCCATGAACACTTGTCTTGTGCAGGGTCTAAGCAGTCCTGCTTCTAGACTAGGGGTGTCGAACTCAATCAGAGAAGGGGCCAAAATCTAAAATCCAGCCTAAATCACAGGCCGAATGGTTTACTGAACAGTCATAAACTGTCATTGTGATGGAAATGCAGCGGAGTGCAGTGATGACAGTGTGGTGCAGGCCACATTGCAAGGCCTGGCGGGACGGATTTGGCCTGCAGGCCTTGTGTTTGACACATGTGTTCTAGACTTTCTAGGAGTAGGGGATTAAGCAGATAAGAATGCCTAAATTCTGGGATTTGAGAAGGATGGGTGTGTCTATATCTATATATTATTATAAAAGCCTAAGCGACTGTTACGGCAGAATGACCAGTCACTATGCCATGCACAGACCAGCAGGGGGCACATGCTCTATGCAGATGGTCAGTGCACTCCCACAGGGAGAGCTCTGCTCAGCCAGAAGCCAGCAGTGATAGCAAGAGCCTCTTCTGCCTCTGCAGCAACGCTAAGGGCATGCCTAAGCCTGCAGATGGACATGCCCTTCTGGGTCCCAGATTGTGAAAGGGTGCTAGCGGGCTGAGGGACCCTCCCCTCCAGTGCACGAATGTCATGCACTAGGCCTCTAGTACTTTTATAAGAGAGATTCTGCTTAATTGATGAGTTTTATCATTATTGGCAAACAACTCTACCTCCCTGGATTTTAATTTCTTTTTCTGTAAAATGGGATTATTAAATTCTTCCTCTTATTTATTAAATCCAAAACTGCATTTCTGATTTCAGATGAGATGGGCTGCTTGGGCATTTTATGGGAGCTGTATGTGTATGTGTATGTGTCTGTCTATCAGTCCATCCAAATGTGTATGTGTGGTTCCATCCATTTAGAATTAATGTGAAATGGTGCTTCCAGACTTATGAGAGTATTGAAACTATGCAGCCTAAGTTTGTTTGTTTGTTTTTATATTTTTACTGATTTTTTTTTTTTTAAGAGAGAGGGAAAGGGAGAGGGAAAGAAGATAGAAACATTAATGAGAGAGAAACATCAATCAGGGGGCAGCCTAAGTTTTCAGATTTCATTTCTTCTCCAGATTATCTTTTTTCAGACTTTTTCTGTCTTCATGAAGAGAAGTCCGAGGGGGGAAAGATTATCACTGGATGTCTGACACATTATTCTCAGGTAAATAGGAAATGTATTCCTTTATTAAAACAATTACTTCTTCCTACTTAGGTAGACATGTTTCCTTCTAGTGCAGTGGTTCTCAACCTTTCTAATGCTGCCACCCTTTAATACAGTTCCTCCTGCATTTTTGTGGTGACCCCCAGCCATAAAATTATTTTTGTTGCTAATTCATAACTATAATTTTGCTAGTGTAAAAGAATCGTAATGTAAATATCTGTGTTTTCCAATGGTCTTAGGCTCTTCAGTAGAGGTTCTCAACCTGTGGGTCAGTACCCACAGGTTGAGAACTGCTAGCAGGATCTCCTAAGACCATCAGAAAACATAAAATTTGCCAGTATAACCATTTTAAAACATACAATTCAATGTCATTAATTATATTCACAACCATCACCATCTAGTTCACTTTTTAAATTATTTTAGGGCTATTCAGTTTATATAGAGAGAGCAGCAATTTTCAACCAGTGTACCCCAAGAATTTTTTTTAATTCTCACCCAAGGATTTTTTTTTTTCCTACTAATTTTCAGACAGAGTAGAAGGAAGGGAGGGAAAGATGGGGAGAGAGAAAGAAACATCAATGTGAGAGACACATCAATTGGTTGCCTCCCACATGCACCCTGAGATTATTTTTTCCCATTGGTTTCCAGGTAGAATGGAAGGGAAGGAGGAAGTAGGAGAGAGAGAGAGAGAGAGAGAGAGAGAGAGAGAGAGAGAGAGAGAGAGAGAGAGAGAGAGAGAGAGAGAGAGAGAGGGAGAGAGGGAGGGAGAAACATACATAAAAGAGACACATTGATTGGTTGCCTCGTGCTTTCACCCCCCACCATGGCCAGGATTTGAACCCATAAGCCAGGTATGTGCCCTTAATGAGAAATGGAACCCATTTGGTCCCCAAGGCAACACTCTAAATACTGAGCAAAATTGGCCAAGGCAAGATCCTTTTTGAGGCCTGGATAATGTTTATGTTTTGTCTGTGCTCACACATGATTACAGAGTGACCTTGTCTGCTGTTGCTGTTGTTAAATCCTTCATACTGAGCATAACTGGATGTCAGGGGCTACCTTTCTCATTACAAATATCATGTACCCTTTGTGTTCAGTTCACTCCAAATGTCTCAAAATGTGTTTTTACAATTGGTGCTGTTGGAATCAAGATTTAAAGTACACACATTTCAGTGAGTGCTTATGTGTCTTTATCAGTAACAGTTCTCCTGTCCTCTTTCTACCCCAAAATGGGTTGTCTAATTGTTTCCTCAGATGTTATTTAACATTCCCTGGATTTCTCCTCTTCCCCTTTTTCATAAACTGTCAATTAGGTTAAAGGATTTGTCAGATTGTGTGTTTTGGGGGCAAAAATATTCTATGGTTATTGCTGTTTCTTGTTGCATCATGTCAGAATTCACATGATATTCAAGTGCTTCTTTTGTGATGTTAAGATTTATCAGCTGATTCTTGTGTCAGCTCAATCCTTCATTTATAATGTTCTTCAGCTTATTTATGGAGTCTTAAATTATCTCCTAGTTAATAAGATCTTTATTAATTGCAAAAGGGAAATGGGGTAATCCCATCAGTCTTTGAGAGGCTCCTTGATTTCTGGTATAAGATGTTCCAGGATCATCGTGAACATCTCCTGTTTTACACTGGACTCAGCTACTTCCCAAATGAGTCCTGGTTTCTTTCATAGTCAAATGGCATTTAGAAGTATTTTGACAGTAGGGGCTTGTTGCTCTTGAGTTGTTACTAACTCTAGGCATTTTTTTGTGGTTCAGATTAGGAAAAAGTTTTTTAAAAATAAATAAATAATAAATATCTACTATATTCCCAATTCCTAATTGTTCTTGAATAGGGAGATAAAAATCTTAAGAGCAAACTGTGTGTATGTGTATCTGCCTGAGTGTGTGGTTACTCTGAAGCTAGTGTGAGAAAGTTGCAGGTCTATAACAGTTGACTGTGTATCTAGCAGGCCTAGACTCTCATGGCTTCTTTTTTTTTTTTCTCTAGTTCTGCTTGCTCAGATCTCTGCCAGGTGAGGAGGGAAACAGAAAAGAAAGAATGGGTGCAGGATTGCTGACATCATGGTCACAGGTATGTGGGAAATTATACTCTTTCAAAACACACATACAAACATACACACACACACACACACACACACACACACACAAAAAAAAAAACAACCAAAAAACCACCACCAAATAAACAAAAAAACATTGCTGTTCCCAAAGGACACACCTCTTGCCCATGACCCACAGTTCCCAGTCCTACTGGCTGGCCTCAGGCTTCCCCAGTTCTCTGGGCTTCTTAGAATGGGAGAGCAAATGCCTTAGGAAAGGCTTCTATTACTACAATATTTGTTAATTTTTCTCCAGATAGTCCTCCAGGTTGAGTATGTTTTATATACTGTGGGGTGCTATGAAGGAAAAGAGAGATTTTTCACTACAGGAAACATTTGTTCATTTTCCAAATATGTTTTCTCATCCTTTTGTACACTCAATCTGTACTAGATCTTGAATAAGTTGGGAATAGTCTTCAGAATTTAAGTGTGGAAATATCAAATCAACTGTGTGTTAGAAAAGCTGATCAAACCATGAGCTTGAATGAAATGGTCCAGGGAGTGAGAGTGAGATAGGAGAGCTCCAAGAACTGAGTTCTGGGGAAGACAATGAGAGGCTTTTAAAGTATGCCTGAGCTTCCTATGCACTGAGAATCCTTCCCCAGTTCTGGAAGCCTCTCACCATTCTGGTTCAGTGGATGAAGAATGGTTGGCTAAGGCAGAATGTGTGTGATGTTTCAGGACTTGGAAGTGACAGTGGACTTCTCCCAGGAGGAGTGGGCACTACTGAACTCTGATCAGAAAATCCTTTACAGAGATGTGATGATGGAGAACTTTAGGAACCTGGCCTCTGTGGGTAAGGTTGCCCTCATTTATTCATCTCTTTATGCAGCAAATAGTTTATCATGTATCGTGTTCCAGGATCTGTGAAAAGAATAACAAGCCCTCGCAAGTGTGGCTCAGTTGCTTGAGTGTCCTCTCATGTACCAAAGGTTGCCAGTTTGATTCGTGGGTTTTAGCTTTGATTCCCGGTAGGAAGAAGCTGATGGATGCTTTGCTTTCACATTGATGTTTCTCTCTCTCTCCCTCCCTCTTCCTCCTTCTAAAACTCAATAAGAAAAATATTTTTTAAAATAAGAAAAGAATAACAATATGTGGCAAGCCCCAAATGGGTGGTTCCTGCCCTTATGGGGCAGTCTCATGGCTTCATTTTCTCTGTCATTAAAAGATTTAGGTAATTTGCATTGTATATCTGATCTTGGCCTTGGATTTCAAGGGTCAGTCCCATGAGGGACATGGAATGTGGTGTTTGTTTTGGGGCCCTGTGAAAGATCTCTGATCTCTTTTGCTGACCCTAAAGTTGCACTTGCCACTTCAGACCAGAGTATTGGAATCAGTTTTATGGAAATATTTCTTGCCTCCTTCACAGTGCCCCAAAATCACGTCTTTTCCACTAGCCGGGTATCATCTCTGCAAATACAGTCTGATCACTGAGGTGGAGCAGGAATAACTGAGGCCAGGGAAGAGAAGAATTCTCCAAGGGGCCTGTTCAGGTGAGCCCCAAGCAGAGGGGAGTCATTGTGTGGAGCAGCCATAAAACTGGGAGGGGTGGTTCATTTGGGAATGTCAATGTTGGAAAAGGACGCAGAGGCCATTTTGTAGGCTTCCCTTCTTTCAACATGTTTCTACTCATTCCTGTTCTGATTTGGTCTCAAAGAAAGACTTTTAATTCCTCGTTCTTAAAAAAAATACTTTTTAGATTTATTTTAGAGAGGAAGGGAAAGGGAGAGAGAGATAGGAACTAATGATGATGAGAAAGAATCATAGATCAGCTGCCTTCTGCACACCCCACACTGGGGATTGAGCCTACAACACAGGCATATGCCCTGAGAATCTTAACCTCCTGGTTCATAGGTCCATACTCAACCATTGAACCATGCCGACCAGGCTTAATTCCTCTTTCACTTTCACATTTCCTTGAATAATTTCTGTTCAGTTCTCCCTACTTTGATTTCCAGGTAATACACTCTCTTCTTGTCTCAAACCTCCAGAATCCTTTCTAAGTAAAATACCTCCCATTTCTATTGCTTGTTCCTGTCAGTTACTCTGGTTTCATCTTCTCTTTAACATTTTTCTTTTTATATTTAGTATTATTATTTGAAAACAAATCCATTGAGTACATACCTTCTTTTTCTTTCATCCCTACTTTTTCTCCCAATACATATAAAAATTTTCCTCCTTCAGTTTCAGGCTGGGCTACTCAACTTAAATCAAAACATGCAATTCCTATGTAGAATGTTCCTGGGGGAAAAACTTCTAATGGCATAAAAATGGTAAGACTTACTAGGGATGGCTTTTTATGTTATGAGAAGTCCGTGAATTTCAGCAAATTAAAACAGCAGCAGCACCCATACAAGGAGAGACAGTTGAAGCACGTGACAGAGAACTGTCGCAGCAAAGACTTTATGAATCTCACAGAATTTGAGAAGTCTCAAGTCCTACCTCACACTTCCTGCCTCACAGTAAGCAACTTCAAAGAGAATACCAAAGAATAAACATTTACTTAAATGTGATTTGTTTTTAAGTATTTAATACATAATTCATTTATTCCTTACAATTACAGAAACTCTGTATTTAGGATGCCCTTTGATTGGAATGAGTAAAGTCAGCCTTAGGAAGCATTCAGCTCATTCAAATTGAAGGAATTACTAGGGCAAAAATTATACATATGCCATAGAATTGGTAAAAATGTCATTCATAACAATGTACTTATTATATGTGGCAGAATCCACATGGAAACAAATTCTCATAAGTGTAATGAAAGTAAGAAAGCTTTAGGTCACCTCTTATTCCTTATTCAACAGGCACCAACTCACCCTGGTGAGAAACCTTTGGAATTTGGTCACTGTGGAAAATTCTTCAGAAAGAACTGTCACCTTATTTGTTCAAGATATTGCAAGGGAAATAAATGCTACAAATACAAAGAATACAGGAAAGATTTTAACCATTTCTTAACTCTTAGGAATCAAATGAGTACTCACTCTGAAGACAACATTTCTGAACTTATTGACTGTTGCAGAGTTTTCAATCTGGAGTCATCCTATAGGGAACACTCAAAATCGTTCACAGGAGAGAAATCTTCTGAATGTAATAAATGTCTTCTGTCCTTTAGCTTACACTCTTCCTTTTCAGTACATGTGCAAAAACCTATTGGAAAGAAACTCTGCAAATGCAGTGACTATGGACAAAGACCTTCCCTTAGTGTGCACAAAAACTTGTGTACTGAGGAGGGAATCTCCAAATGTGGTAAACATAGGAAGGTTTTTACTGGCCCCTGTCCCTTCAGAAATGTGTGAGACTTCACACTGCAGAGAAACCTTATGAATGTAGTGATTGTAGGAAAATATTCATTTTTCACTCTTCCCTTAAGAAACATGTGAGATCACACACTGGAGAGAAGCCCTATGAATGCAATCATTGTGGAAAATTCTTCAGCCAGAGCTCTCATCTTAATGTGCACAAAAGAATTCACACTGGAGAGAAACCCTATGACTATAAGGAATGTGGCAAGGCTTTCACTGTTCCTTCCTCCCTCCAAAAGCATATGAGAACCCACACTGGAGAGAAGCCCTATGAATGCAGCGACTGTGGGAAAGCCTTTATTGATCAGTCATCCCTTAAGAAACATCAGTGCTCTCACACTGGAGAGAAACCTTATGAGTGTGATCAATGTGGCTCTTATTGTGCACAAGAGAATGCACACTGGAGAGAAAACCTATAAATGTAAAGAATGTGGGAAAGCCTTTAGGAATTCCTCTTGCCTGCGGGTACATGTGAGAACTCACACAGGAGAAAAGCCCTATAAATGTATTCATTGTGGAAAAGCTTTCAGCACCAGCACTAACCTTATAATGCATAAGCGAATACATACTGGGCAAAACTTTAAGAATTAAATGACTACAGGCTAACTTAAGTGGTCCTTCACACCTCATTCCTCGCTCTAGAACTCACACTGGAAAGAAATCTCATTGTGACCAATGGTGAAAGCCTTTAGGCACAACTCTCAACTTACCTTATACAGGGAGCAATCTTGTAAGTGATACAGTTCTGTGATTGTCTTAGTGAATGTTTCATCCTTTGACAACTCATTAATCGAGTATTAAATGTAATGTAGCATTCTAAATTTCCCTTGATTTACATCACAAAAGTTTTGGGAATATTTTCATTGTAATTTAGTTACAATTCTCATCAAGATGTCTTGGATATATACAAGATTCTTAGATTTAGAAATGTGTTTTAATGTGAAAACTCTGCGTATTTTAATTATCTTTTAGTTATAGATTTCTAATTTAATTACATTGTGCACTCAATATATGGTCTTCATGATATAGATTCTAAATGACACATATTCAGATAGAAAATTGTTCGAGATTTGCTTTGTTGCCTAATGTGTCAGATAGAACAAGTTGCTGTCCCATATTCATTGCTTTCTTCCTTCCCTAAAGTAACAGGCCTACAATTGTGTTCAAGTTGGCGGTGTGGACAGTTTGTTAAGGAATCATCTATATTTCCTTGCAGCTATGAGTGCCCATGAGCTCACAGTCCTAGCCAATGAGAAAGAGTGAGAGCTGCTCCTGGTTTTAAAGAAACCTATAGAAATGGGAGCATCTCATCTGGCATTTTCTCGTTACTATTTTCCATTTATCTTATCTCTCCTTTTTTAGGAAATAACCCAAAAGGATGGCAGTCATAGGCTACTGATTATACAGCAAGGACATAAAATAGTATTTAGCTGTACCAACCCTGGGTTGCTTATTTCTGGACTTCATGTAACATGAAAAAAAAATAAGCTTCAAACTGGACTAAACCACTCTTGTAGGAAGATTCTATTACAACGAATTTCACTCTCAATCTCTTATGTGGCCAGGTTTTATGAATCCTTCAAGTATGGTTAAGAACAATGTATATTCTGTAATTATCAGGTATAATAGATTTATCTGATAGATAAATCTTATTCTGTTTATTAAATCTGTATCATTACAAACCTTATCTCCTGGTCAACCAATGGTTGCTGGTACCATTGTGCCAACAGGAATTTCCAGTTTGTGGTATAGCAAAGAAGTAAAATTTATTTAGTACAAAACAACTCCATTGCAAAACAGCACAGCTGTGGAATGCCTGACTACTGTTATACCTCAGTTATGAAGCAGCAGGACAGCATGGCTATGAAGAGGCCTTGGGGCTGGTGGTCCTGCTTTGGCTAGGCAGCACTGTCCTGCTCTTTGCTACCTCACTCAGCCCCTGTGCAGGTATTCTCTGCTGTATTCCAGACACTTTCCCAGTTTTAACTCCAGCAAGGGAAACAGTCCTATCTTCAGGGGAATGGGGAAGCGTTCCCCCAGAGGCAGAGGAGAGTTGACTTACATAGAAGTCCCTGTCCCTGGTCCTTTATTGATCCGCCCTCAGGCAAATGAGGACTCCAAATCCTTGCAGTTTGGTCTAAAAAGCATTGTCCTAATTGGTCACAAGGGAGCTGTTCTGATTGGTCAGTGGAGATGTTAATGAATATGGCTGCACAGCTCCTATTGCATGGGAAAACCTCAGTCCTATTGGTTGAAATAGGACTCCAGGAACTCTGTGAGGGCTGGCTTGCAGAAACACAGTGCGGGAATGCAGTCCAGTGCAGAGGCAGGTAGCTTAATGTAGGCTTCTTCCTAAAGTGTGGTTTGTGTGAGAGGACTCTATATAGAAATGGCTGCTAGGCTCTGTTTAAAAAAATAAGCCCAGTCAAGCCACCAGGAGCCCATCTTAGTAGGTATCTTCTTTCTTAGGGTCCACACAACTTACCCTCAAGTAGTTACCAAAAAAATTAAGTCTTTATCTAGAGAGGGAGCCAACACATAAAATACTAAAATGGATAAATCTGCTTTAGTCCTGGGCCAGTTGTGGGATAGGCACAGAATCAGCAAGGAAGTGTGGGCTCCTCTTGATTGGCTGTGGGCAACCGATTGGAAAGTGCATGCATAGATAAGTGGAGGATTCTGGGGTTCAATGGTGCCTGGCTATTCTCTCTTTTGTTTAATAGCGGAACTAGCCATATGGAGTTAATCTAAAGTTCCAACAGACATACAGGAATGTGGGCAGCCTTTTGTCAGAGCTGGCCCATAGCTATTAACAGGTTAACTATTTTATCTTTTTCTCTCATTTCTCTGGCATTGTAATTTAAAGCATCTCAATTCTTTTCTTGTTGGTTTCAAAGTTAAGAATTTTTTCCTGTGGGATGTGTTATATGTTACAAGGACCCTGGCCCCTCAGAATCAGAAGCAAAAGAAATTGAAGTGAATGAGAGAGGTCCTTATTTCTAGAAAGAGATATTACAATGACAATTTCATTAGTGACATTGCTACTGTAAAACCAAGCATTTTGGAAATATCCCTTAGTATTTTTGGGGTACATGGTATCACTGCTGACCTCAAGGAGAACAAATGTGATGGTGGCAGAAAGATGCCAGATGAGTTGAAGAGAGTGGAAATGGAAAGTATAGACCTATTTTTAAATCCACCAAGTAAATTTGAAGAACTAATTGGCTTTATTGAGTGATAATGGAATCAGCCAGCATCCCATCCAACAACCAGAAGGGTTGTACAAGTGGAGTTTTTTATTAGGAAAATGGGGCAAATGAGTCATTAGCAAAAAAAGGGGGGGAAATATTTTAAGCCAAGCCATCTTTTTTTAGGAGAAGAGAACTGTAGGAGCTAGGAGCCTTTATCATGCAGATTAATTTACTGCTACTAATCTAACTATCAAGTTCTTAACACAAGTGACTTCATTTAAGGCCTGTGGTTTTTTCATTAATAGCCAATATATCCAAAAATTTGGAACAATACCCAAAGAAAAATGTTTCATTTTCTTTGAAAGATAGGTGAATGTAGAATATTCCCATGACATTAGACATGATAATATTGCATGCAAACTTGGGGGGGGGGGGGAGAAACTGGATAAGGAAGGTAAAAGTGATAGTGTAAATTCCCCAGAACATTCAGAAGAGATGGAATAATTATACAAATAATTGTTGAATGACGGTGGTGGCTAATATTGTGATGGCATAGTTTCCAATGAGATCATATATCCAGTGAGGCCTTGTAACTGAGAATTGAAGAATCCTGGGTAAGATTCAGCCAAGCATCAGCTGCCAATTCCTGAAGCAGCAACTTCTCATTCTATACAGTTACTTTATTTACACTGCCACCCATGCAGACTGATGGACACCAGACCAATATAATTGACCTCTGAGATAATAGGTCCTGTAAACCCCTCAACTCAAAATTAAACTGACATTTTATCCTGCCTAAAATGTTGCTTTTCCTTTATTACCATCACTGTAAAAGCTACACCATTAACTCTGACACCCATGCAGTTGTTTCCAGTGGTTCTCAATCAGGCTGAGTTTGCCCCTGTGGGACAATTGGTAATGTCTGGAGATGTTTCTGGTTGTAACAGTACAGAGTTGGCATCTAGTGGGTAGTCTACAGGAACCTCTTAAAAATCTAGCAGGACATGAGACAGCTGCTCACAAATAATTTTATAGACCAGAATGCCAATATTATCATGGATTAGAAATGTTAATAGATTCTTGAGAACTAATGTTAAAATTTTTGTCTAAAAAATCCCAGCCATTGTCTTATTTTATAACGATATTGAAAATACCTGAAATAAATCTCACAATCTTGCTCTGTTATTTTGTTCTATTGCATCTTTTTTATTGTGATTAAATATACATAACATAAAATATTTTAACCATTTTTAGGCATACAGTTCTATTGGTTTGACATCAAGAACATTCAGCCCAGCCACTGTGGTTCAGTGGTTGAGCATTGACCCATGAACCAGGAGGTTGCTGGTTTGATTCCCAGTCAGGGCACATGGCCCGGGTTGTGGGCTTGATCACCAGTAGAGGGCATGCAGGAGACAGCCTATCAATGTTTCTATCTCTCCCTTTCTCTCTCTGAACTTGGTAAAAACATAAAAATAAAAATAAAAAAATAAAAAAAAGAACATTCACTTTGTTGTACGACCATCACCACCATCCATCTCCAGAATTTTTTCATCTTCCCAATTAAAACTCTACCCAGTAACCGTGATCTCCCCAATTTCTCCCTCCTTCTAGTCCCTGCCAATCACCACTCTATTTCTTATCTCTCTGTGAATGTTACTGCTATTGATAACTCATATAAGTGGAATTATACAATATTTGTCATTTTAGAACTATCTATTTTACTTAGCATATTTTCATCTACATTATATATGTGTAAGAATTTCCTTCATTTTTAAGGCTAACTATGATTTATGTTCATACCACATATGAACATAAATTTTATCCATTCACCCATTGATGGGTACCTGGGTTGTTTACACTTTTTATTTATTGTCAGTATTGCTGCTGTAAACATGAGTGAGTGTTCATAGAGGTATCTGTTTGATTCCCTGCCTTATATTACTTTATTTGTTTCCATAGCTTCTTTCACAGTTGAACTCTATTTATTGATTCACCTCTTTATTTACTTTTACTCCACTGGAGAATAAGCTATATGACAATAGAGACTACTTCACAACCATGTTCCTAGTCCCTAAAACATTGTAGGTTCTCAGTAAATATCAACAAAAGAGAAACAGACTCAGAGAGCAGATTAGTGCTTGCCAGAAGAGAGGGAGTTGGAGGACTAGGTGAAAAAGGTAAAGGGATTAAAAAGTACAAAATACTCATGGGATATAAAGTACAGCATGGGGAATATAGTCAATAACATAGCAATAAACATATGTGATAACGGGTAGGTACTGGAAATACCAGGGGGGAAACACTTTGTAAAGTATACAATTACCTAACTGTTGAAGACCTTGAAACTAATACAAAATAATACTGAATGCAAACTGTAACTGAAAATTAAATTTAAAGAAAAGGCAATCATAGGATCTTTGAGAATAGAAACGAAGCTTGTGTTTCAGGAAAGATAAAGAATCAGATTGAAATCTATGACATTGGCCTTTGGAAACTTTAATGTTTACTTAGTTCTGAAGTGAGAGGCCAATCACAGACAAGGGGCTCCTTGGCTAAAGAGTTTTCTCAGGGCCCCCTTCACATCCTTGTTCCTCAGGCTGTAAATAAAGGGGTTCAGCATGGGGGTGACTATGGTGTACATTACTGAGGCAACTGAGTTGTAATGGGTAGAATGGATCACAGCAGAACTGAGGTAGACCCCCAGGCTTGTCCCATAGTACAAGGAGACCACGGAGAGGTGAGACCCACAGGTGGAAAATGCTTTATATTTTCCCTCTGCAGAGGACATTCTCATTAAAGAGGAGACAATCTTAGAGTAAGAAAAGAGAATTCCACTAAAGGGAAGCACGCCCAGTAAAGCAGTAGTCACATATAAGAAGATATCATTGATGAGGGTGTCAGAGCAGGCCACCTTGAGAATCTGAGTCAGTTCACAGAAGAAATGTGGAATTTCAGTACCTACACAGAAGGACAACCGCCTCATCAATAGAATATGAGCGAGGGAGACCCAGAAAATGATGAACCAACACAACAGAACCAGGAAGCCACAGAGCCAGGGGTTCATGATGACCAGGTAGTGCAGGGGGTGGCAGATGGCCACATACCGATCATAGGCCATCACAGTCAGGAGGAAACCATCCATTCCAGCAAAAATCATAAAAAAATACACCTGAGTGAAGCAGCCGATGTAAGAGATGGCTTTGCTCTGTGCCTGGATGTTCATCAGCATCTTTGGAATAATGGTGGAGGTGAAACAGATGTCAATAGAGGATAGGTTGGAGAGGAAGAAGTACATGGGGGAGTGGAGACGGGAGTCAGAGCTGATGGCCAGGATGATGAGAAGGTTCCCAAGTAGAGTGACCAGGTACATGGACAGTAACACTCCAAACAGGAAGGGCTGTAGTTCAGGATCCTCTGAGAGACCCAGGAGCAGAAATTCTGATATTTCTGTATGGTTTCCTGCTTCCATGGAGCTGATGTGTCTGCTGGAGAAAGAGGCCAAATAAATGTTTAGAAAACTCCCAACTAGAACATCAGCTAGTGATCACCTTCAGATTCCGCCTTTGTGGGGACCTTCTTCCAATGACTGTGATTCACTCAGACAAATGGTAGCCATTTTCATTTTAAATGTAATCATTTAGCCTATTTAAATTTATGTAAATCTTTTTTTTAAATCACATACTGGTTCTAATTCTACTTTAAGCTATGGACATAAACCAATTTCTTCTAAGATATGACCCTTCCAAGATAATTGAAGACATTGAACATCTTTTCTTTGGTAATCGTCATACTTTTTTCACTTAAATAGCTTTATAACAGACATGAATTCCTGGATTCCTAGATGCTTCTCACTGATGAGACAGTTAACTCTCAAGTACCTTATCTTAAAATGTTGTTACTGCTATTACCTCCTTTGTGAGTATTAAAAATGCCTTTGTGCATAATAGGATCTCAGTAAGTTATAGCTATTAGTATTACTAATAATCTGTTCCTTTTCTTACAATGATCATTTATATATAACTCTCCCAAAGTGCAGTGCAGAAGAGTGAGTCATCAAATGGGGTCTTGAATGAGACTTCCTAGAATAGAATTTTGGTCCATCAACTTCCTATGCCTGACCTTGACAAAGTTCTTTTGTTATGCCCAGACTTCATGATCCCCAAGGACCACCAGGGAGCCAAGTCCGATGCAATAAGCAAGAGAGCCTTCACCATGCTAGCATGTGCTCCCCCACTCATGCCGGCAGCATGGCGGAAGAGAGCAAATTTCTCCCCATCCAGGAGTTTTGAGGGCTAGGGATAACTCCGCCCTACGGGGCGGAGTTGGGAGCTCATCCTCGCCCCGCCATGCCCTTTCATTCCTCCCTTGTCTAATGTGCCTAGTCAAATCATTGACTCAGCAGCCTACTTCCTTTCAGCATAAACAACAAATACAGTTATCAAGACCCTTAGTACCACAGTTCCCATCAGTATTGTCCTCACTGAAGTCCAGTTCCCCTCCTGCAGGCATCAGTTCTCCTCCTGGCCTGTAGTTGCCAGGATCCAGGCCATGCAGGAGCTGGGAGTCATGTAGTCAGGTCTGGGTGCCATCTACTTCAACAGCAGTGGGCGTGCTCAGGATAACAGTGCAGCATCCCTTTGAGTCCTTGGGCAGCAAATTTCTTTACCCACATTGAGTTCCGGGGCTACAGGGTCTGCGGTGGGCACTGGCAGTGCATCTGGAACAAGCAAACTGCAGAGCCTGTAAGGACTTGAGCAAGGAAATGGTTACCATACATGATCCCCTCCCAAAAAGGGGAAACTTGTCCCAATAAGGGGTACACCTGGCCCTCAAGAAGGCAAAGGACAGGGGGTTGGTCCAATTTTCACCGAATCTAAGACACATTTAGTTAAACCCCCTTTTCAAGAGTCTCGCCTGTCCTAAGGCTAGAGCTATGAGATACCTTAGCTACCAAGGGGAGGGCTGTTATCTGATAGTGGGGTATACCTCAACCTAATCTGAAGTGTCTATAAAAACTAGACCTTAATGCTGGTGGTTTAATCTCTGAAATCCACCTACCAATGCTCTCCTGGGGAGGTTCCCTGGGACCTGAATTCCCAGGGGGGATCCCCTTACCTTGCTTAGCATTTACCTGTGCACAGACAGTACTTCTAGCAACTCTGCCTCACAGAAGTTCAGAAGTCTTGGTGACACTTAACCTGGTGTCACCGGGCAACTCTGACCTAGAGCCTCTGGGACCAACAGTCTTGTCATCTGGAGGGTCCATCAACCATCTGGTCCTTCAGTGGCTTGCTTCTGGTCAGCCAATTCCTTCTGGCTGCAGTTGGTAACCCTCTTTTCTTTGTGGATGGCACAGTGTCTCTATCAAAGGGCCTGGATTAAGGCCAAAAGTTCTGGAACTGTGCCCAAATGGTGTGGTCCAAGGTGACTACCACTGCCCCTGCATATCAGGTCCCATCCTGAACATAACTGCTCCCATCCGTGAACAGTACCTTGTCGTCTGTTACCTCTGTGCAGTCATGAATGGGTTCCATCATCATCATCTGGAAGCAGGCTGGCAGGGTTGATGGCCAGAGTTTTCTGAATCTGGACACAGGGCTGGTCCAGGAGAAAAGCCTGGCCCATCCAGGTTAGCTCCTGGTCCAGAGTCCACTTATCTGCCTCCTTCACCAACAATGCTGTGGCTGCCACAGGGTCCAGTCTCTTAGACAGATAGGCAACAGGTCTCTTCCAGGGACCTAGAGTCTGAGTGAGAACCCCTTTGGCAATGCCTCTTACCTCACTCACGTAGAGGTGGAAAGGCTCCGCGTCGTCCAGCAAGGCTAGGGCAGCTGCTGAGATGAGAGCCTTCTTTAGCTCCTCAAAGATCCGTTGTTCCACTTTGGACCAGTTCAACAGCTGCATTCCCCCAGTACGTGTTCCTTCCGAGGACCACAGTCCTTCTTGATGTCCAAGGAAAACAGGCAGTTTGTCCGGTGGCTTCCTGGGCTGATGTACGGGTCCTATTGGCTCTCTCAAGACTAAATAGGGTGCCCCCATGCCCATCAGGAAACTAAAAGGCTTGCCTCTCCTAGCTAACCTGTCGGGACATACTCTTTATAATTTCTATAAAAATCTTATCTTCCAAAAATACATAACCATGCCTCAAATGTTAAAGAAAAGGCAAGGGAGGAGGAAGCAGGTCCAGTACCTGTTCCCAGGCCTCTAACAGCCACCTGAAATGTAAAATGCCACATTTTCCCTACAGATATAGATTTATCTACATTTCTAAGCCCCTCTACTCCCCACTGCAGAACATCGGTGAAAATTGTCCAAGCAGTCGCAGGGGGTTAAATCATACAAATAATTGTTTTCACATTGTTTTAACACAATTCTAAATAAATTATAAACCTTTGTGATGAAGTCTACTTAAACCTATAAAGTAGATACACATGACTGAAAACAAAAATGATTCCCAAAGTTTAAACAAAATACAAGATGCAGGTACAAGCCCAAATTCAACAACAATGGCATATGAGAAAAGCAAAACAAAACAAATCAAATATAAAAGTTTCATATGTTACATTAAACATTACTTTAGAAAAACTGACTTAAAAAAAATACTGCATCACTGACTTAAAATAATTTTTTAAGTGTAAGCATTACATACTTTTTCATCTGACAAATGAGAATAAATCAATCCTTGAGATCTTAGATCATTACTGCTTATTCTTAACATATATAATACAGTTTAGCCTGCCATATTCTAGGCATCTAGTTACTGCAATTAACTTTTCCTAATTCAACTTATACTTTGAACTTTTAAAGCTGGCAAGTCAAATAAATTTGGCATTTCTTAGATTAATAACATTACATTTCTAATACATCCTGCTTATTCAGGGTAAAGTTTCAGCAACAGATCTAACCATACAGTTTTTTCAGATCTCAAAATTTTTTTTCTGAAGTTCAAACAAAGCACTGAATAATCTCTTTGTAGGAGAGCTAATAGTCTTGCGCTCTCCGGCCTCCCCTAGACCTCTCCACACCAGAGGCAGTTTACTAGGATTTAAGACAATGTCAGAAAATCATAGGTCAATCACAATTCATACTTAAGTAGCTATATGACTCTGCTTAGCTGATACCAATGACAAGGAAGACTAACCATTGTGGGCTGCTTCACCACCAATTACCTGCCACTCCCTGAAGCTGGAGCAGCATTCAAATGCAAATGAACACATTCTTTACCTAAAGACTCCTGGCCATTCAGGGCCATTCACCACCATTCACGTAAACTTGTTACCATTACCATCTAGTTTCCGCCTCATGGCGGGGAATTTCAAGAGCTGCTTACAATGACTTGGGAAACCAGTTTTAATTTATCTCCACCACTTTTAAAACTTATTCTGTACCCAGAAAAGTGTTTTTAAGCACAGCCCAAAACTATGCGCACTCGTTTTGAACTGGCCTTTTCACTTTACTGAGCACAGAGATTCGCCCTTGAGCTCTTCTCCAGTACCGGATGTCACCAGGGACCAGATGCCTCCACGCTGGCCCAGGCCACCAGGGCCCAGGCCCCCGGAGCGAGGCTGCTTTGGCCGCAGCCCCAGCCACGCTACTTAGGCAGCCCCCAAGGAGAAAGCGCGGGTCGCCCCAGCGGCTTCCCGGCTCCGCCTCCCCTTCCCCAGGCAGCCAGCAAATTAGCCCAGGTGCCTGCACCCCGAGCGAGGCCACCACTGCCCAGCCGCGCTCCAACGCGCAGACTGAGCCCCGCGGGAGCCCCCCCTCCGACCCAACGCCGCCAGGGGGCCCCGCACCGCCACGCCGGCCACACTTCGCCAGCTCCATCCTGGGGCGCCATGCCGCCCACAGATACCAAACTCAGACCTGGGAAAGGTTCACTTTTTGCAGGTGAGGCAACGGCTCACGCCATTCCTCTCCCCATATGAGGGTCCCTCTCAGGCCCTCCAGGGAGGTCAGAACGTCTTCTGATCCTCCTGCCCGTAGCCTTCATGGTGCGTCCACCAGGCGTTTTCGGGCACCAATTCCATGAGGGGTCCCTCCAGAGCGCGCACACACCTACCGCGGCCAGTCAGACTCTCCGGATCGGGTTTTCCCTAATGGTCCCGGGGATCCCGGACGAGCCCCCATCTGTTATGCCCAGACTTCATGATCCCCAAGGACCACCAGGGAGCCAAGTCCGATGCAATAAGCAAGAGAGCCTTCACCATGCTAGCATGTGCTCCCCCACTCATGCCGGCAGCATGGCGGAAGAGAGCGAATTTCTCCCCATCCAGGAGTTTTGAGGGCTAGGGATAACTCCGCCCTACGGGGCGGAGTTGGGAGCTCATCCTCGCCCCGCCCTGCCCTTTCACTTTAATCTCTCTCAGCTGCAGGTACCTCCCCTCTCTAACGGGAGTCATAAATGTTTTCTACATTGTAATACTGAGTGATGTAAATGAGATGATGCATGTAATTTTCTAGTGACATACAAGTGGACAC